CGTGCGGAAGGAAAAACTAATGTTGATGAAATTATTGATGCTATTGTAATTTATCGGCAACAGTTTGTTTCTAATAATCCTTTTGACAATTTTGACGCTCCTCGAATAGTATTCTTTAACAAGAAAAAACCGTTAGGCCAAGCAATTGATAATGAAGAAACATCATCAGCTTATGATACTGGTTATGTTTCTGAATCTTTGCCTACTCCAGAAATTTCAGAGAACGAACAAGTTATGTATCAGTCAGATGAAGATTCAGAAAGCGATGATAATAATATACCAACAGATTCAGAAGATATTCATGAACCTTTATATGAGATGCAACGAGACACTGTAGAAAATATAAGAAATATAGATGATATAGATTATTCTCAAAAGCAATATCATATTTCACAGGATTCATCTGAATTAAGTTCTGAGCACGAAGGTAGTGATAGTGATGAATCTCAAGCTCAAGATGGAGGCGCTATGATACAGGATGAGCAAATGTATGTAGATGGTGAATCTCCTTTTTCACCATTACATATTGGATCACCCTCTTCCCAACATGGTGAAGAGACTCCAGAGTCACAAAGCACTCAAACCAATACCACTGGATTTAGTGTTATGGGCGCTATATATAACTGGTTTAGATAAATGACTAGATTATTTAATACTATTACTTGATCTGCTATGCCTATTATCGAAAATATTTTGCGAGAATTGTAATAATGACAAATTATGCATCTCGATTTCTTTTTTTGAAAAACATTTAAGACCATTTCATTTTAAAAAAAAAATTAAGCATTTTTACATTGTAATAAAATCAAAAAGAAAAAAAATTATATAAGAATTCATTATTGTTTTATATTAACTATTCGTATAAGTGACTGTTTTTATGCTGCGACTATTATATTTCCAACTGTTGGAAATTTACATCATTTATTTATATGATTGAATTTATGCTGTCTTTACGTTATCAGATTTTTACAGAAAATAAACATATTCTTTTTTAGTGTTGAGATCTTTGTTTATTATGTTAACGGGTTGCAATTTCTGTGCAACATATTAAGAATAATAATTTGAGTTCTTTGCCTTGAAAATTACCTTATGAAACACAGTAATTACATGTCTCGCAAAGTCATTTTCAAGCATTTATACAACGGTAATAAAATTAAATCAAGTTTCATGAAATATATATATTATATATATATATATATATATATACGCGTATATAAAACGCACCTATGGTGGTTTTGCACCTATTATATGGTTTTATATATTTTTCAAAGTTTTGTTTTGTAAATAAAATCTTTAGCACAAATTTTCATGGGTTAGTATTTATGTTAGAATTAAGGTTTGGGAAGGGTTTGGGGGCGTAGAGTATTTTTACTTAAAGCATCGTGTGCTAATCAATTAGCCAATTTTAAGATAATACAATGTGCGCGTTTTAGTAAAGTGTACATACGTAGTATATTTTAATTTTTATACCGTAAAATTTCTCGAAATAACGTCCCTTAAAATACGCGTTCCGAAATAATGCGTACCCATGTAACAATACAGTATCTGTGGATTTATAACAAATAACAATCATTGACCCTTTTACTTCGAAATAGCGTAAATAAAATTTTGGGAATTGATATTCATATCCCCTATTCCGGTAGGTTAAATTTTTTTAAAACTTTGAGCGAAGATATCTTAACAAACACCAAGTTGAATTCAATGAACTTTTTTTTTAATTTCACAATTTGAATTCTGCAATATTTAAAATTCAAATATGTATTTGATTAGATGGTTTTTAAGATATCTTAGTTCAAAGATTTAAAAACTCAAAACATCAAAATATAGAAGCTGCGTCCAAATTTTTTTAAAACTTTGAGCAAAGGTATCTCGGCAATCATCAAGCCAAATTCGATAAACTCTTATTTATTTGAATTTTACAGATTCACAGAATTCAGATAAAAAAAATTTATTGAAATTGACTAAATGATTGATGAGATATCTTGCTCAAAGTTTTAAAAAAATTTAGACGCGCTTCTACTGTATTTTGATAGACGTTTTGAGCTTTTTTAAAAACTTCGAGCGAAGATATCTTGACAACAATCTAATCAGATTCTTTTATTTGAATTCTATAAAGACTGGAATTCAAATAAACAAAAGTTCATTGAATTTAACCCGGTTGTTGTCGAGATATCTTTGTGATTCTCTAAATTTTTAACGGATTTAATACAATATGGAGGATTTTTCAATTAATATTACATGGATAACGAACGACATATAGATAATAACTACAATAAATAAATAGTTTAAACAAATTTTAGACAAGCACTTTTGATCAAATTAATTGTTTTCTTATATAAATATTTATTACAAAATGAGTTAAATTACAAATTAATTAATAATCTTACAGTACAATTACTTTTATTAAGTCACTAATAATTATTATCTAAATTATCTATAATTAAAACCCATATAGTATATCTATATTTATTAAAATTTTCTATATTAATATATATTTATCTAAAATCAAATTAATAAAGTCAAATTAGCGCGTTCTAATCTATATTATTAACAAAGTTAATAACTTATATTATAGTACAGTATAGTACCTGTAACAATTATATCTAATTAATATCTTCGACTCACATTTGAATAATTTTGAAAATTTATTCATTAGGTTGTTGAAGCTTTGGTCTCGCCTCGTCCCATGGCCCATGAATTTCACTATTTTGATAATAGAAATTAAAGTTAATATAAATTA